TAGTATGTGAATAAAATTAATATTATAATGTAGGTTTTGATTCAAAGTTTTACTTTATCTAAGTTTTAAGTCCTTATTTCAAAATAAACCTTACAAAAAACTACCTAAAACTTCAGATGTATTGTCCCATGACCAATGAGGTATGAAAAATCTCTACTTTGGCTCTCTGTAGCTTCAATAATACAATGGTAGTTGTGTAGAGGTAGTCTAAACAATAAGATACTTACATAATCTTTGGACTTGCACATTTCAAAGTTCTCTGAATGAATGTAGTTAAAAGAAGTAACAAATTTTTTGAACCCCTGATAGGTGCCACACCCACCTCCAACAGATTTCTTTAAGCTTTATAGCCTATATGTTGATGTTACATGCACGTGTATAATCATTATAAAAAGAGATCATTGCAAACTAATCTAACAATGGTTATTTTGAATTGGTGCACAGTTGTTCTCACAGAATATATGTAACTGGCTGTAGTATTATTGGCTGCTTGATTGACTATAGCAATTACGGTTGTTTCTTACCTAAATATGTTACAGTTACAGTTTAAATTGTACTTAAGTCTTGCTATTATATTTTAATTAATTATGTATTAGTTATGTTTTAAAATTAATAATTAAAAGGTTTAAACATTTTTTAATTATACAACATACTTTGTGTCCATCCTCAAGGCTTACAATATTATGCAATGAACAAAACTTTTGCCTAACAGTTGTGCATGTCTCCCAAAGAAGCTGTAATATGCCTTGAAGGCACCGTTGACTTGTGCATTGATGAATAATAAGTGGTAAAGGACAAAAAGGAAAATAAAATATTAAAAATTAACTATATATAAAAAAGGAAAAGACATGAAATTATGAATTTAACAAAAGGAAAATCTTTAAAGATATTCTACAAAAATTATACAACATGTGTTTTTTTCTATTTCAAAAGTTTAGTTACTTCATTGCATTGTATGTTGATGTTAATAGCTACAGTTAGTAATATGGTAGAGAAAATGAAAAAATATAAACATTTACCTTAAAAAACTTTTGATATCCTTTTAGGAGGCTCTAGAGATTATGCAAATGAAATATGAAAACTATAAGATGAAGAAAAGTATTTTTATACTTAAAATAAAAATCACCTTGCATTCAATTTGTTTATAGTTTCAATGCAAGTAACTACAATGGAAAAGTAACATATTTTTAGTAAAAATACTTAATTATAATAATGTCATTCTTTATGTACAAGATACTTACGATCTATAACAAACTCTTACCAGTTTTTGAGAAGATATGTTAAGAAATCTCAGAGTTACCGCATGTATTGTTGTACAAGTACAATTTGCGACTTGATTTGATTACTGCAAATTGCATGAGCCAGCTGTATTTTGCATATATATAGACACACACACAGTTTTTAACTGGGTAAAGCTACTTTGAAACATATTTATAATTGTTATAAATGTAATGTTGAAATAAGCAAAAATGAAATAATTTCAGGATAAAAATCTTGTAATACATTAGTTACTTTATGGTAATAATGAAAGGTAAACAATACTCAACCAAATTTGTAAAAAAATATATTAAAGAAATTAACACCATCTGTAATTTTTTTGCATTCCCTTGTATTTTGTAAGTAATCAAGTTCAGAATGAGATGTTTTATGGAATAATGTGCAGTCACAAGTTATTTCAAACAAACTTCTTTATCTTCTATAAAGCTCCACTTAGTGGGTTTCTTTACAGATGACCTAGCTAGCTTGATGAGAGAAACACAGTGTTAAATTTAGCAGGAGTGTCATTATGCAAAAGGCTTAAGGGAGAGGCAAAGAAAACTGACCTTGCATGAGGACCCCCCCCCCCACTTCAACTGGGAGCCCTACTTTATAGATAGTTTGTGTATATGTGTTAATCTGGCTTGACTACCATTTGTGGCCCATTTCTGAGCCTGATGGGGGCATTCATCTCTGTTGGTTCCCCTGAATGATGCACTTGGTTCTTAGTAGTGTAGTTTTTGTTATCCACGGTTATTTTGTTTATTATACTGAAAAAAAATAACATCACATCATAATACTAATGGCCAGCTTTCACTTGTAAACCACATGTTTATACTGTTCAAAGTAGTTACAAGTAACTAATGTATATTTAATTTTTATAGAAATTGTCAGCAATTTATGAATTTATGTATATAATGATTATAAATATACATTGCAGTACTTGCTGCTTTATTGTGTGTTAATAAAGCTCTTGTATTGATAAAATGTTTTGCTTTAGAAAAACTCGGTATTTGTTTTCGAGTTTTTAGAAATAAAATTTTTTGTTCATTACATACTGTACAAGGTGATAATTGTTTTCTGTCCTACTGATTATATATATTTTTCAATGCATAGCAACTCTTCCAGGACTAACAGACAATCGCAGTGAAGGTTCAGTTAGTAGTAACAAAGAGAATGCACCTCCTTCAGGTGGAGTCAACACAACAGGTTGTTTTGATTTTTTCTTTCATACCATATTGAATTACAAATCTGAACAATTTTTCTGAAGTTCTATCTGTATATATCTGTCTTTCTTTCTATATATATATATATATATATATATATATATATTT